CTTCGAAGGGCCCAGAATCACACTCAATGCATCTCAGTGCCCACACTGTTTCCGTTTCGACAAGAATGGCTCGCTTGGTTTTGATTTTTTCAGAGGTCCCAAAAAGAAGTCTGGGAACCAAACTGAGTGATTGGGCAACACTTTCCACCACGCGGCTACATGTCCACGGAACCTTTGGAAGGACATGAAAGAGAAGTTGCTGGTAAACCTCAGGGAGGGCTATTCCAAAGCCTTTATCTTCTGTTCTCTCATCTACGCAAGTAGAAACTTCCACCGCTTCTGCGCCCTCCGGCTGCTGCGCCACTCGAAGCTCATGTCCCTGCAAACGAGTCTCCAGCCGTTCCAGGCCTGAACACAAGAGAGCAAGTCAAACCTCAAACTGGATTAAAGCAGTGTTTTTGTAGAGTTCTCCTCTGAAGAAGCAGGGAAATGCACTTGCTGTGTGAAGAAAATGGTTGTTTACATGGTTGCCCCTGTCTTGTATGGTGGGGGTCTGACAAACCTTAAAATATATAGCAAAATGTTCCAAGAGCTTTAAAGATATAATTGACATAAAGTAATGAAACAGCAGTCAAGTCATTCATGTGGAGCACCCACAGGTCTGTGTCAAGCAAAATGCCCTCCAACCCCCCAGATGACCCAGGGTTGGCGCAAAGACTACGTATCATCAAGATGCCCAGCCAACAAAAAGTTCATTGTGCAAAACTGGACAGATTTGTGGACTTGACATATGGACTACAAAAATCCTCTATATATGTTGCGTGTCCCATCTTTTTTTGCGGAATATTCTTTCGGACCTCCATATATAAAATGTAGATCGCCAGAATGAGTATGCTACGTCAAACCGTTCTACTAACGTCCCAGTCAACACCTTGATAAATCAACGACAGACCGCCTTTCTCGATGGAGCGGGCCTGAAGAGCGGGTGAGCTTTGTGATCAGAAACAGGAAATGATTCAAAAACTTCAGTGCATGTTGAATTCTCAAGAAGTGAAGTGATAGAAGTGCTGATCTTTGTGCACGATCCGTGAATCGTTTAAGAGTCCCGGGCATTTCTTGTCTTTAAAGCTAGTAGCGATGGCCTCCAACCTACTAGACATGGCCTCAAACCTAAGAGCGATGGCCTCCCACCTACTAGCGATGGCCTCCAACCTACTAGCAATGGCCCTCCCGCCTACTAGCGATGCCCTCCCACCTACTAGCGATGCCCTCCCACCTAGTA